ATGAAACCAAATGGGCAACACCTTCCCAAAAGCAAAGATGAGAAGGCAGAAAGGGACAGAAAAACTGGATGAATGGACACAGAGAACCAAGGGTGGAAAGGGAAAGGGGGAGAGTGCTGCACGGATTACAATAAATGTCACAAAACAATTTGTGTATAAATTTTTGAACAAAAAACTAATTTGTGCTATAAGTTTTCACCTAAAACACATGCACGAAAGAAAGATTACCACCTTGGAAACTCTACGGCAGTTCTACTCTGTCCTATAGGGTCACTATGAGTTGGAATTGACTCAACGGCAATGGGTTAAATAAATGGAAATACATCTAATGTTCGTAGACTGGAAGACCATATTGTTGAGATGGTAATACTACCCAAAGCAATCTACAGACTCAATGCAATCTCCTGTCAAAATCCCAACTGCATTTTTTTTTTTTTTGAGAAATGAACAAGCTGATCCCAAAATCTGTGTGTACTCAGAATAGCCAGAACAATATCGAAAAAGTAGAACAAAGTTTGAAGGACTCACACTTCCCAATTTCAACAATTACTTCAAAGCAACAGTAATCAAAACGGTGTGGTATACTTGCATAAGGATAGACATATATAGATCAAGGGGATTGAATTGACAGTCCATAAATAAATCCATACATCTATAATCAATTGAATTTCAACAAGAATGTCAAAACCTTTCAATGGGGAAAGAATAGTCTTCAATAAATGGTGCCGAGACAATTGGATTTCCACGTGCAAAAGAATGAAATTGGATCCCTACCTCACACCATATACAAAAATTAACTCAAAATTGAGCAAAGATCTGAATATTAGAGCTAAAACCATAAAGTTAAACATGGATTGCAACCGATTAAGCTGACAGACCTCCTCTCCCCATGGGCACCCAGTGTGCCATGACTGCAAACAGCAGCCTCCTCAGTAGTATGGGCAGCCTATGGCTCATATGGGTCACCCTAAAGGACCTTGGAGATAGCCCTTCCCTGTTGATGGTCTTGTCTCTGATCTCTTGCTGTCCTCAGTCTAGGTTCTAGATTGCCTAGAAAGGTGCGTTTGAAAAGTCCTAGGGTACAGGGGCCAGGATCCACATCAGCCAAGTCATCATGTGCATTTGCACCAGCCTTCAGAACAAGAAGCATGAGATTGAGGCCCTATGCAGGGCCAAGTTCAAGTTGACTGGCTGCCAGAAAATTCGTATCTCTTAGAAGTGTGGCTTTACCAAGTCTAATGCTCATGAATTTCAAGACATGGTGGCTGAGAAGCACCTCTTCCTGTACGGTCGCAGGGTCAAATATATCTCCAGGTGGGGCCCCTTGGACAAGTGGCGGGCACTAAAGAGGGCTTTGGCAGAAATGGTCTCACTTTACTTGTGCCCACCAATAAATTCAACTTCCTGGCTGAGTAAAAAATTTAAAAAGTTAAACGCAGAGTTAACATATGACCCAGCAATTCCACTCTTCCACTCCTAGGGCTATACCCCAAGATAAATGAAAACATATGTCCACACAAAAACTTGTACAGGAATGTTCTTTGTAGCATTATTCACAATAGCCGAAAAGTGGAAACAACGAAATGTTCACCAACTGATAAATGAATAAACAAAATGTGGTATACCTTTACAAGAGTATTATTCAACCATAAAAAGAAATGAAGTACCCTGAAAACATTAAGCTGAGTGAAAGAAGCCCGTCCCAAAAGACAGCCAGTTATAGGATTCCATTCATGTGAAATGTCCAGAATAGGAAAATCTATAGAGACAGAAAGTAGATTAGTGGTTGTCAGGGGCTGGGGGTGGGGCGAGGAATGCAGAGTGATGGCTAATGAGTGTAGAGGTTCTTTTAGGGGTGATGAAAATGTTCTGGAATTAGATAGTGGTGATGGTTGCACAACCTTGTGAATGTAGTAAAAACCACGGAATTGTACACTTTAAAGTGGTGAATTTTATAGTATGTGAATTATAGCTCACTTAAAAAAAAATTTTCATTTGTTTTTCATTTCAAACAAGAGATGAAACTTCCAAAGGGTAAAAGATGCAAAAGGGGTTGTCCCAGGATGACACCCAGGGCACCTGTGGGACTCTGGTGAGACACCCCAATTCTGGGGTCTGAGTCGTCCCCCTCCCCACTTGCCTCTTCCCAGCAGACACGAG